GCATTGGGTATGTACAGTCAGATCCTGTACCATCCACACAGAAGTGCCACTGCCACATCTGGTCCTCCAGTTCTGGGAAGAAAGGTGTAGCCAAAGGATCATGTGCTTCACAGAGAACTCAGTCAGAATCATTCCTGCCTCTGCTTCTCTCCGGTGATGAATTTGGGGACCTGCTTAACATTCCAGAGCCTCAGTTTCCACATCCATAAAAGACTAACAGCATCCAGCAAAATGACTGTGAGGCTTAGGTATAATAAATATGAAGCATATATAACACAGGGCAAGCCATACTATCTTTCTTTTGTTGAAGGAAAGATGTATGAGTGGATGTGTGGATGGATGGATGGATAAATGGAAAGATGGTCAGACAGAGAAGCTATCTCTAAACTATACCATTTGAGGAACAGCTGGATAAAAGTAAGACCATCAAAGCCTGGTATGGGATGGGTCATGAGAAAGGAAAGAACTTTGTAAGGTTGAGACTCCACAAAAAGTGTTGACTGGCGAAAGGCACTAAACATCTTGTCTCTAGAAGTGTCCAGCAAAAGCCATAGCCCACCCTAGGAGCTGTCACAGGAGGGACTCCCCTGTTCAGAGTTTCCCAGTCTTTACTCAGAGTCACTTTCCCATTCTGGCCATATTTGTCTATTGCGTTAATGTTATTAGTTTAATCTTTACCTTAAAATCACTATATTCAAATGTTGGCAAGGCTGTGGGAAAAAGGAACACTTCTACATTGGTAGGAAGGTAAACTAGGTAGTATAACCACCATGAAAATCAGTATGGAGATTCCTCAAAAAACTAACAATATTGGACCCAGCTATACCTCTTCAGGATATCTTCCCAAAATAAAGGCATCATATTACAGTGACTTTATACACACACACACACACACACACACACACACACATATCAGCAAAACTCATAATAATTCCTAAAAGCAGTCTATTGTTCATCACATGAAAAGATACGGCAAATGTGGTATACAAATACATAATGCAGTACTACTCAGCCATAAAGAGGATAAATTTGAGTCTTTTGTAGGCAAACTGAAGCACCTTGAGACCTTGATTTTAAGTGTAGTAAATCAGACACAGGAGTTAAATATAGCGTAGTTTCTTTTATATATGAAACCAAAGTTTAAATAATTTAAGGAGTAAAATAAAAGATAGATGATAGGAAACAGGGAGATGGACTCTGAGATGGAAAAGACACCTGGGTACAGCAGAAAGGAGAAGGCAGAGAACAGTGAAGTAAAAATGAATAAGGTATGATTTCTGTGTGTACCAATTCCCCATAGTACATATAGCAAAAGTATACTAACAAAAATTAAAAGGAAAAAATTATCATATTAAGAAAAAGCATACTTTTAACTTAAAATTTTGCTTCGGTTTTAACCTGGGCAAAATATCTATTTAAAAAGCAGCTTTGATGTGATGCCTGTATTTTCTCAGTAATACCTATAAACCAGTATGTGACCATTGCAATGGAAGATGCGTCTGCATGTGAACTGCTTAAGGGGCCCTGCAGCAGGGAGGGCTCTCTGCTATTTGAGGGTGCTTGAGCAATGATAATGTTCTTCATTCTTGAGGTCCTTTCTGGTCTCCCAGCATATTTCATCTGTGTATTTCATCTAATCCCCATGACAACCCTGAGGGAAGAACAGAAAAGTCACAGATGGAGCCCAGCCCGAGCAGCACAGGCCCACCCGGGCCCTATACATGGTCACAGAAGGCCGGATTGAAGCTCCATACCCCGACACTCCATCCTGCCCTCCTCTGCTCCACCAGCACACGTGCACAGCCAGCTCCATTCTTGGTGTTTTCCCGATCTCACTAGCAGAACACCCTGTGTGGAAATTAGGCTCTCTACACAAACAACACGCTCTTCTCAGGCCCAGAATGTCACCTCATCCGCTGGTGATGACCCACACTGTCATCCGGCCATCTGGCCATCAGCAGGTACCATCTACTGAAGCTGTTAGAATATTAAAGGACAAGGGTTGCTGCACAGCTCCCATGAGAGAGATCCCTATAGAAAGCCACCTCGGGTCACAGTGGCCAGAGAAAAGCCCAGAGGCGGGAACCAGGTGGCCGAGGGCTAGGAGAGAGGGTCTCTGAGAATAGACGGCACCATCAAAAGCTGCCTAGATAAGAGATGGGGACCACAGATTACATGCCAGCAGCTGCCAAGGAGCCCAGCATGGCCTTAACCCCAGCCTCAACGCATCGGCTCGACCACCTGAAGTGTAAGTTGGTGGCAGTACTGTGTTCTTTGCCATAGCCCCACACAACAGGCTAGCAGTTTACTGCAACAGTAACCCTGTGCACTCCTGACACCTACCTCCAACTTCAGGCTGCCCTGAAGTGGCATGCTGGCCTGGCTGGGACACTGAGCAGGTCTTCAACAAACACCACTGAAGCAATGTGGCTCTAGACCAGGGATGGCCAACCTGAAATCCAGAGCTCGTTTTTTTAGAGATCCCCAAATTCTCTTGATATACACGCCTAACTTTGCACAACAAGCAGTTTTTCTGGATTTCTCATTGCTGTATGCAAAAGGCCAAGTCCAGATCATAAAAACCTTAATTCTGAACTCCAGGCCCTCAAACTTCTTAGTTACTTGTCCCATGGAAGAACTCAATGGAAGTTTACAATGACTCCAAAAGAGCTGTGAGGAACTTTGGGACATGTGGGCACTGCTTAACCTACTATATTCGAGTTTTGTTATTTGTACCCCAAAACATCCCCCACTGACTCTGCATCACAAGGCCCAGAGGCATTATCTATGACTATGAGGACAGGGCCTCCAAATTCACCAACAAAATTCCTCCCAATGCAGAATTCTCAGCTTAATCCCTAGACCAGGAGTTCTTTCCAGATGCCCCAGCTCACAGGGAGCTCACCTAGGTCCTTCTTTTTCTAATCTCTAGACAACAGTACAAGTACCTCATAGCTGGCTAATGCCTGCTTGGGCCTGGCAGCTACAGAGCCTCTGGAACTCAATGCATACCCTCTGACAGTTGAGAACATTCCAGCTTTGGACAAGAACCTGATCCCATTTAGTCATCTGAGTACTGTTTGAACAAACTCCATAAAGCTCACTACAAGGTATGTTTTTAATCACTGTGAGGGAAACACACACTAGGGTGGTTCATTAATTACATTGATTACAATGATTACACCAGATGTAAAACATACAACCAAGGCCGCATTTCCCTGAGAACTTGCTAGATTCAGAAGGCTGGTCAACATATGATTCTGACAAGTCACTCCAAGAACTCAATGGAGGCGAGCCTAGCAGTCTTTCCTGGTTCCAGGTAGTCCCTGAAGCTCAGGAACCAACCCCAGGAGTAAACGGACTTGTCACGTTCTCAGAAAGTAAGAAGTATCTATGGGTAGAGCTAATAATAAAGAGTTACACCTGTCACAAAAGTGTCTTCTGTAGCTTAAAGCATAAGAAGTAATAAACAGAAGCTGCTTTATGCAGAAGCAGGGCTGACAACCCTTGAAGATAATCACCTGCCCCATGGAGGGCTCTGACCACCCCTCTCCTCCACAGGGAAAAGTCAAGGTCACCTCTAGGGGCTTCAGTTTCCACCACAGCACTGGGCTTGCTCACCATTCCTCCCTCAAAGAAGCTGGCAACCTTGAAAATTACAATTTTCAGGCATCAAAGCCTCCCGCCCCGGCAGAGAAAGGCCAACTGCACCATAAACCACTGACAGAGACACTACCTGGCCAATGGGCAACGCGAACAAAGCCAAGGGTAAAAACTATGCCTCAAAACATTTTCAGCCCCAGTCATCCGGGACAGGCAATTTAAGGAAATTAGGAGGTTTACAAAAATGTTAGCAGTTCAAGTTTCTTTTCTGGAATAAGCAGCAGAAGAAATTCTACTGTCTCTGTGAAAGTGTTTTGCTCACTGCTAAGCCCTGACACATGTCAGTTATTAGCAACACACATAGCCACTACCTAGTACTTCAACCTGCCATGCATGTTTGCAGAGAATACTAAATTATCAACGCTTAACACAGGCTGCACCAGAGCCCAGGACCACCAGACCCTAGCACCACGGACCAGCATAGACATATGGCCCAAAGTATGGACTGAGATGCCATCCTGGGCAAGCTGCTGACCTTTCTGGCCTCAGTTCCCCCATCTGTATGCAAGGATAATAAAACCTTTCAGGAGGTGTCAAATGATGAGCAAGGGGTCCCTGTGAGCTTTGCTGTTTTTGTAGAAGCCTGGGGCCTCCAGGCTTCTAAATCAGATCTGCTTACTCCTGCTGCCAAGCAAACCTCTGTGGAGGTCACAGTGTGGAGTCTGCTCAGTCGTGCTGCCTGGTTCAAGACAGTGGGAGTCCTGGAGAAGCAAGAACCACTGTAGTCTAAGCAGGTTCCACACCAGTGGGGGCCCACGTGGGAGGAGAAGCGGTCTCAGAGCCAGGATCAAAGCCCCAGTGCTGTGGTCTTCATCCCCCTCTCCAGTCTGTATCTTGCTCCAGGCCAGCCCCCATCTCAGGTCTACCCAGGGTCTAACTGCGTGTCCAAGGGTCTGTGCTGCTGCCAGGCAACACCTCTCCTAGGAGGCCTTCCCTAACCTCCCTGGCAGGAGGACTGGCCCCAGAGTGCTCCCACAACCCTTGGGCTTCTTGGATCCCCCCCGCCCCACGACCACGCTGTCTGGTCACCTCTCCCGCGGGGCAGGGGCTGGCAATGTCATACGTGGTGGGCACCTGCCCTGTCAGGTCAATGTATGAGTCCAGGCCCCAGTAGTGACCAGAGCCCGAGCTCCCCAACCTCGGGGCGCAGTTAAAAGTGATTTGCAGGCGGGCTGGTTTTTATTATGCAGATGAATGACACACCCTCCCCCTCCCCCGGCCGAACCCTGCCCTCGTTAACGCCATTTTAAGGGGGAGAGAGCTCTCTCTCTGCCGCGAGCCCGCCGCCCACCTCCCCGCCGGCTCTCTGGGGCGGCCGCGGACCCCGGAGTGATTACCATGAAAGGGTCTCGGGTGGCCAGCGGGCTGGCAAGCTCTCCCGGCGGGGTCTCGGTTGCAGCCGATTTCCCGATCGCACACCGCCACGCAGGGAGCCCCAGGAGGGCAGAGTCGGCCCCGAGGCAGCCCGCGCGTGGAGAGCGCGGCGCGGAGCCGGGGGCGGCCACACCTCCGCCCGGAACAAAGCGGCGCGGGGCGGGGGCGGCGCGGCCCGGCCTCTTCCCCTCCGAGGCTGCCGCGCGCTGCACTCACCGCGCGCTCCGGTCCCGGCCGGCTCCGGCCCACGGGCCGCCTCCTCCACGCCCGTGCCCGCGGGGCCCGCGGCTGCCGGACGGACGGACGGACGGACGGACGGCCCCGCGCCAGCCACCCGCCGCCGCTCCCCGCCCCGCGCCGCCTTAAAGCGCCCGCGCAGCCCGCGCGCCCCGAGCGCCCGGCGCGCAGCGCATTCCTGCTATTGCCGCGGCGCTTGCTAAAAATAGAGCGCACGGCGTGCGCGGGGGGGCGCCCGACCCCGGCGCCGGGACTGCATGCCGACCCGGGGCGGCCGCGGGACCTCGGCCCACGCGTGCAGCGTGCCTGGCGCGTCACGGTCCTCGCTGCCGCGTCCCCCGGCCCGCGCACTTACGGGGATCCGATCACAACGCCGGGGAAAGTGGCGTTAAGGAGATTGTCGCGCGGGGATTCGCTCGGTCCTCTTTTAAACGCTTTGGCGCTGCAACCTTTAAATCTCAGCCGGGCCGGGCCAACTTCTGAACTTCGGACTAGGCGTTCTGGGCGACCTGGCCTCCACCATGACTGCAATACCGAGACGTGTTTTTCCTAGGTCCTGCCACCAGCGTCCTTTCTTTCTCTGGCCCTCCCGGCCAGGGCCCAAAGTTCATTTGGTTGGGTGCGAAGGGAACAAGCGACACTTGCGCACCATTGCATTGTTTCAGTTCCGCTAACTCCTCTCCATCCGTGTCATTTTCCTCCCATTAAAAAAAAAAAAAAAATCACACACCATAAATTTCCACCTTTACAGTGTGTTCAGCGGTTGAAAGTGTGTTCGTGAAGTTGTGCAACCATCACTGTGATCTAAGTCCTGAGCGTTTTAATCACCCTTCCAAAATAGTAGTCACTCCTCATTCTCCCTTCCCCCTAGCCTTGGAAACCACTAATCTACTTTGCAGTCTCCCTGGATTTGCCTATTCAGGACATTTCTATAAATGGATCTACACCACATGTGTCTTTTATAACTAGTTTCTTTCTGTAAGCACAATGTTTTCATGGTCCATGTGTGTTCTAGCAGGTAGCAGTATTTAGTCCTTTTCATGACTAAATAATATTCTGTTGTAGGTACATACAACATTTTGATTATGCATTAACCAGCTGATGAGTGTTTAGGTTTCCACTTTTAGGCTATGATGAATAAAATTGCCGTGAACATTCCTGTAGAAGTCTCTGTATAAGCATAAATTTTCATTTCTCTTGGATATGTCTCAGGGTGGAATCACTGGGTCTTCTGAGCAATTTTTTTTGGAAAAACAATTTGTTTTCCAGAGCAGCTGTACCCTTCTACATTCCCTCAGGCCATGTTTGAGGGATCCACAGTCTCACCATTCTCCCCAACACTTGTTACTGTGTGTCTTTTTTATTAGCACCATCCCAGTGGAGTGAAGTGGCATCCTGAGAATTTGGTTATCAATGTTATTTCTGAGAAATTTTGTGCATGTGTGTGTGGGTGTGTGCATGCATGTGTATGCACCTCGATAACTTGGAACCAGCTATACATCGGGAAACCATTCCCTTCCCATTCTGAGGGCTTTTCTCACTGCTTCAGACCAGAGGGGACCTCACAGCTCGGAGTCCTCCAGGCCGTGGTGAGGCTGCCGCTGGCATCCCATCCACAAGAACAGCCATAACATGAGAGTTGTTGTGGCTTTCCCATGTGCCCACTCCCGTCTGCTCCTCTCAAGGGCAAGTAGACCCCAGAAGACCAGACTGGAAGCAACCCATCTTGACAGCAGAGAGTAAAAGAACTGGCTGGAAAAGGGAGTCTGGGAAGGAAAGTTCACAGGTCAAGTCTCACCCTGGATCCCGCCATCTGCGTCACTTTCCATTAGGGCAAACCTGACCAAGGTGCATAGAAATCTTTGTTTGTCTGCCAACCTCTCGCTGGCTTTTTCTATCAAGAGACGCCCCTCCCGGGCCCTGTTGGTGCTATAGCCCAGAGCCCTCAGCAGAGCTAAGACAACATCTGTACAAGAGTCGAAAGCCATATGGATCCCACTTCCACATACAAATTTCAAATCCTAATCGATGTCATCTCAAAAATGGAGGTTACAAAAAAAAAAAAAAAATGGAAGTTACACAGCTAGTGGTCATATACAAGTACCTGGGGTTGTCCAAGAGGCCACCTCCTCTGCTCTTCAGGAGTAAAGCGTTGGCTTAATTGCTGGCAAACAGGAGCTTTAGAGAGATGGAGACTAGGGAGAAAAGCAAGGCGTGGGTTTGAGAGTTCAGTCAGTAAACACTGCCCAAATCCACTGAGTGTCTACACTGGGCCAGAAAACAACCTCCCAGCAAAGTGAGTGCCATCCAAAAGAATTACAGGGGGCTGTGGGAGCTCAGAGAAAGGACACCTGGACCAAGGTTGGGGAGAGGGCAGTGGGAGTGACAGTTGACCAAGGTCTGTAAAGACAAACAGCACTGTCTAGGGTAAGACAACCCTTCTATACTGAATGAGCTGAAGACTTCCCGAAAATCCCAGCAGATCTGCACACCTGATCAGAGGTATGTGAGGCGTGATAGAAGGCCAGACTCCTGCCCAAGAACCTAAGCAGGGACCAGGCTCAGCTTTCACGCTCCAAGGTCCAAGGCCAGCCACTGGACCAAGAGCCAATTCCTGGAATAGGGCAAAGGTGAGAGCTGCTGGGCTGCTGAGGAGAACCTCCCCGGTGAGTGACAAAACAAATGTGCTTCCTGCACTTCAGCATCCTGTACCTGCCTCTCTGCCCTGAGGCTTGCTGAATGTCTAATGGTCCAGTGGACAACTCAGAAGGATCTGGGGCCTCCAGGGATGGAAACCAGCCAGGTCACTGTGGCCCTACTTTCCTCTAACACTAGTTCCAGTATGTTCTCCAAGGGTAGAAATAGCTGTGGATTCCTGAGCATTCGTGAACGATGTGCCAGATGCTGGGCCTGGGAATGAGTCTACACACTCCCAGCTACCCAATGTTGAAGGCCGTGCGAGCCTTTCTGGTAAAGAGACCATGTGTCCAGTCCTGCACAGGGGAGGGCTGACCACAAAGCCTGTGCTCTCTTCACCATGCCAGTGGCCTTGGTGAGTAGCTCTGTTGTGTGTGTGTTTGGCTGGTGTTGGGAAGCAAGAAGATGGACAGGAAGGAGACCAGCACTTGGTTTACTTTCCTACTTACAGCGTCTTCAGGCTATGGTAAGAATCAGATGGTTCAGGGACTCATGGGTTGGGGAAGAGGAGATTTAGCTCAGCGGCATAAGGGCCAGCCTGGCAAATGTGAGGTTGTGAGTTTGATCCCTGGTACCAAAAAAAAAAAAAGAATCAGGTAGTGCAGTGACCTTGCAGCACCAGTAATCAATTATTAAAAGAAGCTGGTCCTAGCCCCATGCTGAGCTCTGTTCTGTGCCGTCGTATCCTATATAAATCTCTTCTTCTCCAAGTCATGAGATAGCATCAAGAGTTTCCTAACTCAGCCGCTCCTGATCCTCCTTACTAACATCTCTATACCAGCTACCTCCTTGGTCTCCTTGAGAGAAAGGCTTCACAAGGTTTTCTTTTCTCACATGGACACCCTCTGGCTCCCTGAAGGCCGAAGAACAACTTCTGACAAATCTTCTACCCACTTCACTTGCAACTTTCTCCAAAAGGTTGTGCACACTCAACTAATAAATTCGTTTCTAGTTATCACTGTTGGCTCTTCCTCCACTTAATCAAAAGACTGGTGGCCTTAAAATTTTGGGGGTTGCCAAACATAGGAAGAAGTAAGTTTTGTATTGCAAATCAGAACCCATGCACAGGTGAAACTAAAGTTTCATCAAACAATACTCACCTCTGTTATGTGATACCCTTTGGCCTATTCTATTCTGTGTTATTTAAAAATACTAGCAGACTTCTGGGAAAGGTAGGAGGCAGTAAATAGCAGCAAATTAACCTCTCTAAGATTCACAATCCAGACACTGGAAAATAACAATTTGGGGAAGGAAAAAAGAGACGTGAATCCCTGCAAACTAGCAAGGATCAGAAGGGGAAATTGGAGCACAATAAAAATGAAGAGAAAGATTACAACACAGAAAAAAGAGGGCAAAAACTACTTTTTCTCTGGCTCACGGTGAGAGACAGGAGGATCAAATCTGAAGAGATACACAAAGAATGCATGACTCCAGAGTCCTCCAGGGAGAAATGCACCAGGGGGATGGAGCAATGCGTACTGTGTGTTACAAAAATGGCGAGTGACTCCAGTCCAAGTGACACCAGTCCAACGCCCTGGAGAGGGTCCTTTGCCAGACACCATGTTAGGGAGGGACAACTGAATCTAGGGCTTGCATCAGCATGGGTTGGCTTCGTCTCAAGGTTCCCAAGTGCTGAAATCCCAGAGTGACTGTGTGAGGAACAACTACAGGAGACGTACAGGGTTAGGGAGCCATGGTTAGGCCAGCAAGAGACGCTCAGAGTGTTGTAGGCTGAACAACTCAGGCCCTAACTGCAAAACCAGAGACAAGGATCAGCCTGGACTTCTGTGAAGTTGAAAACACCAGAATGAGCACCCCACCCTGATCTCACTGCAAGCTTGCCGGGGTTATTTAGCACAGATCTGGGCTCTGTTTACCTTCTTTGTCGACAACAGAGACATGCCCTGGATTGGACACTACTACAAAGCTGTAGACTCCAGAAGATAACCACAGATTTAAAACTGCAGAGAAATCTCTCTTCTCTTCTTTTCTTTTTGGTGTTTTTTTCCCTTCTTTTTATTTTTTCATGAGTGTGAACATTGGTTTTAGTTTCTCTGTTCTGTTTTGATGTGGTTTTTTCCTTCTTTCTTTCCTTTCTGTCTTTTTCACCAGTTTCCCACAGTTTGGGAAACCTTCCTTTGTCCTTCAGTCTTGCTTTACTCTCCTTATATTCTTTCGTTTCTCTGGGGCTTCCTCT